ATGTATTTTTTATCAAAATAATAGATGATTTCATTACAAAGAAATGTGTCATAAATTCTAGGGTCCAAGATAATGCAACTAGATATGAGACATTATAACTTTTGATCACCAGAATTATGATGAAACTATGACTATATATCAGCTTAATTTATTTAATAGATATTGTTTCTATGCACTTAGTTGCCTAATTTTAAATCCTTATGTATTTTTTATCAAAAGAATAGATGATTTCATTTTAGATATTAGCAACTCTCTAAAAATATATTGAGTTTGTCGACACAAATATAAGCAATAGTGGCCAATTCTTTAGCAATAGAGTCTTCATTGATGCAAAGACAGGCACATTTACACATGCAAACAAGTGTATAGCTGTAGAGCAAAAGATTCCATTAAATTAAGAGGTGTAATAATTTGTTTCCTACCAACTTAAAAGCAAAAGATAAACAAAGGACCTCGATGGTTGCATAAAGGACACAGTCTTTCCTACCATGTGTCCCACTACAGATTGTGTGCAAACTAAAACTTCTAGAAATGAATTGTTACTAATCTCAATAGATAAATATTTTAGAAACTTTTAAAACCCTAGATCTTAGCTTTATCATTGACAAAACATCAAAATGCACAGATTAGTGAATTTGAAGTAAAATAAAATCAAAGATAAACATTGTAGAAACTTTTTGAACCCCAGATCTTAGCTCCATCATTGGCAAATAAAAGCGTATCAAGTTATATATGACTTTTATAAACATTCTAAAAATTTTAAAACCCTAGATCTTAACTCTATCTTCGACAAAACATCAAAATATACAGATCAATGGATTTGAAGTAAAGTAAAAACAAAGATAAAATATTTACTTGAACAAGCAAAGAACAAAGAAGAAATAACGAGATCAAAGAAAGAGAGGGAGAAAGCGTATAGAATTCATCAACTTTAATCTCATTAAAGAAGAAATAATGGAATCGTATTACACCTAAATGATGAAAGAATAATGAAAAGACGAATACCCATTCAATGGAAAGCCAAACTATGCCTCAATATTAAGAGCCAAACTAGGTGAAAAGCCCTATTTGTATATATTTTTTTAAATTTAGTTAGTACTTTGCTATTTACAAGGAAGAAAGAATATCCATAGACTAAAGAGAACATGAAATAAATAAGAACAAGACAAAATGGGTCCTACAAAGTAAGTATGAAATCATTTGTGTAGGTTGCAAAATAAGATCTTTCTAATGGACCTACAATTTGCTATTGATCTATAATCTCTCTTAATTTTTTGACCATAGTAAGAAATTTTTCTTTTCTATTATATAATTTTTTGGGAAAGTTGTTTATACTTAAGTGTGGATTTGCCACGTGTTGATATGACAAGGACATATGGGATAAAATTTGTTTAACTTCAAGTATTCTATATATTTAAATATTTTTATAATTATTTTTTTTAAATTCATAAAATTTTAGTTAGTGATGATCAAATATTTTCTTATTAAATCAACTTGTATTAATTTTTAGACTTCTTTTTCATCATAACCAAGATAAAATTTTATATAAGTGAAATATATTCGTAAGGGTCAATTTTGGATCCTCACATAAAGCATTAAATTAGTGAAGGTTATATGTGACTCACACAAAAAGTATATATATTTAGTGAAAGTCAAAACACAATACTCACTAAAAATTTATTCTAATGAAGGCAACTGTTGGCTTTCACTACACAAAAACTTAAAAAAAGTCAATTTGCAACTCTCACTAAAATCCTCACTAAAACAAGCTTTTCTTGTAATGTGTCAAGCATTTTGATTTGTTTTCTTTTTTTTTTAATATTTAATAAATATTTTTAAAGATTTTAAAATTTTTTTAATATGGTGCCTATTTGATATTATTATTTGAAATATTTTTTTTTCATTATTTTTTAAATTTGATAAATTTCAAAAAAATGATATTACAGGAAGTATTGACGTAAAATCCTAATTTGAATTTTTTTTATACATTTTTTTTTAGTTTTTGTTTTTTTAAAAATTTATGATATAAGTTTCTCAAGAAAAGTTTATCATTATTAAATATTGTACAGCAACTCAACTTGTTTCCTTTTTATTTTTACTTTTCGTCATTTCTTTTTTCTTTTAGTTTTTTCTTCCTTTTTTTGTTCCTTTAAATTAGATTTGTTTTTGAAAAAAAAAAGGCCAACAAATTTGTAAACATGGCATCCTATTTCATTTTTTTTTTCTTTCACTTATTTTTTTATTTTTAAATTAGATAAATTTACACAAAAAAAACTTGTAAATAAAATTTTGAAGGAAAACGTTGATGGAGGTATGTATGATAAAACAACCTACATCTAATGGATTTTGATTCATCTAAATTTAATAGATGCTCTTTTTTTAAAAAAATATTTTTGAGATTAGATTGAGTTTTTTTTGAAAAATCAAAGTCAAGTCAAATACAAATTTACGGTGTTTTGTCTTATCCGGATATATATAAATATATGCATTATTATTTATTTATTTAATTTTATATTTATATATGTATTATAGTAATAAAATTATTATTTTATACTTTAATTTAATAAATCCATGTGTCACCCTCAAATTGGCTTCTTTTTCTTTCTTTTTTTCTCGCCATTTCTTTTGTTTTTTAAAAAAGTTTTTGAATTTTTAAATTAGATAAATTTTGTAAAAAAAAAAAAATCAATGGATATCAATAAAACAAAATAATTCATATTCCATGGGTTTTTATTCCCTTGATCTAATATTTGCTCTTTTAAAAAATTTGACAATAGGTCAAGGTTTTTTATTTTTTAAATTCAAGGTCGACTCAAAGACAAGTTTAAGGTATTTTGTCTTGCCGCAAATATATGTAATTAAAGTTTTATTTATTTATTTCATTTTATATTTATATATATTATTATTTTAATAAAATTATTATTTAATGTCTTATTTTATTAAAAATATTTTATTTGTATATAATCAAAATATAATTCACATGTTTATTTATTCATTATATAAAATTTACTCATTTTGACTTTTATTTGACCTTCATTCAATGTGTTGGCATCAGACCTTATATTTTTCTCTTGTTTTAAAAACTTTTTTCTTCTTTTTTATGTTTTATTAACTTTTTATTTAAAAAAATTAATTTAGATAAATTTGTTAAAAAAACCCAACAGAGGTGTACATACAACACCCAAATTCAATTTTTTTTCTTTTGTTTTTTGTTTTTTAATTAGATAAAATTTATAATAAAAAATGCCGATGAATAAAGGTCACAAAAAAAATTTATATCTAATGAGTTTTGATCTGACTCAATCTGATAGGGGATGATTTTTTTAATTTATTTTTATTAGAAACATTTTGTAAAAAAATAATGTCTCTATGTAAGTGTTTACATAACACCTCCATTTGTTTATTTCCTTTCATATTTTTTTAATTTTTTTTAATTGGATAAATTCTTACAACAAAATAAGTTGATCAATAGAGATAATAAAATAATTAATATCCGATAGATTTTCATATGTCTCAATTTGACATGAGAGTTTTCGTATAAAAAAAAAGTATCAAGTCAAGTTTGGTCATTTAAAAAAAAAAAAACACGAACATGTCTAAAAATAGATTTAAGGTGCTTTAACTTGAGCCATCCCGTGGTATATATAAAAATATATATTTTATTATCTTTTTAACTTTATGTTTATATACTAATTAATAAAATTATTATTTTATACTTAAGATATTAATATTTTAAACTCAATTTGGGTATCTACATGACACCTCAATGATATATTTTTTTTATTTTTGTTTATTTTTCATTTTGATGAATGAAGTTATTATTTAATATTTTAAATTCAAAAATTTAAATTTTAAACTCAATTTGGATGTACACATACTATCTTGACGAGCTCTCTTTTTTTTTTTTAATTATTTTTTATTTTTTTTCCTATTATACCTTTTTTTATTAAAGTAATTCTGTTAAAAAATTGAGGCTAATGGAGATATTCATGTAATTCTCCCTTTTGAATTTTTTCTCTTTCACCTTTTTTTTAATATTTTTTAATTAGATAAATTTTATAAAAAAAAGTATCAATCAATAGAAATGTCAAAACTATCAATATTTGATGGATTTTAATCCATCCAAATTTGATAGGGATGATTTTTTTTTTTTTAAATTTGTATCAAGTTGGGACAGATCAATTCTTTTATCAAATACGAGATGAAGAAACATGTTTATGGTGCTTTATTCAAACTCATTTCGAAGTATATATAGAAGTATATATTTTATTATTAATATAATTTTATTTTGAGAAATTATCAACTTACGCAATGTAAAATTAAAAGAATTTATATATTTTTTAACTATTGATTTTAATAGATTTAAGAGATAAAAGAGATATGTAAAAATAAAAAAATGATTTAATCTCATTCCTTAAATCTATTTAAATCAATAATTAGAAAAATTTGTAAAACTTGTAGTTTTACATTGTATAAGTTGACTCTACACTTTTATATTTATATATATATGTATTATATTAATAAATTTATTATTTAATATATTAATTTAAAATGTTAATATTTTAAACTAAATAGAAGTGTCCATGTAGCAGCTTTTATGAGATTTTATTTTTTTGTTTTTGTTTTTTTATTTTGAGAAATTATCAAATACATTATCAATATAATTTGTTTACTCTACAAGCAATGTTAATAAGATGACGTACGTCTCTTGAGATATATTTTAAAAATTAAAAGAAATTAATTAAAAAAAGTGAGGCATGTCACAATGTTAACTTTGTTTGTAAAATTAAAAAATTCCACTAATAATGTATAAAATATTTTTTCATTTACGATTTTTTATTTTTTTGATTTTAAATTTTTATGCTTTTATTATATATGTGTATATATATTTAGTAGAATAGAGAATCAATTTGGGTGTCCCCATGCCACCTTTATTTTTTTACCTGTCATCCTTTTTTTAATTAAATAAACTTCTAAAAAAAAAACAATGAATAAAGATGACAAAACTAAGTTATATTTTTGTGTGATCGGAAACGTAATAAAACAAGGTTCAAATTCACAGTACCAGTCTTATTCTGTATTTGCTTCAACTTTCTTTGTACTCGGTGGAAAAAAAAGCTATCAACCCTTAAATTCAATATTAAAAAGAATCACAAATGCCTTAAATGCTTGCACAATTCCAAAAAATAAAAATAAAAATAATGATATCAGAGCTGCCATGTCCATTCACGTTATAACACAAATATCTAGTTTTCTCTGTAGGACTAGAAATCAGTAAAAATGGTATAGTACTATAGTGAGATTGCCAGGTTGGAAAATAGAAATGGTACAATTGAGTAATAAAGACAATATGACAAACACCCTATAGAAAGAGTCTGAAGACAAATATAGGACCATGGAAATCAAAAAAGTTACTTTTAGCATCTAATGACTCTAAATATATATCTTCTCTTGGTTCCTCGCTTTCTCCACTTTGTGTAGCATACTCTAATGCCATCTCATAATCCACCTGCAAATATCAACATGGGAAAATGCACAATTTGAACCACTGCCCTAACTGAAAGGAAAAAAAAAAAATGAAAATAGTCGTTCTAGCAAGATTTTCTTTCTTATTCTCGTCCCCGTGCTTTTGTTTGCAAGTGTTTTCATTAAAACTTAGCATGTTAGAAGCAACACATATCCAACGCAATGAAAGCATTTGACATCATGGCATACATTTAAACCAAACTTTATGCATTAGATTATTCATTTTACTGATGTCATTAGTGGAAGCTTCTCATGGTTTGACAGGATAAAAGGGGATGATTTTGAAGCACAGGATTCACTTGTGGACTTATAAACGCCATGATGATATGCTATATTAAATATCAATAATATGGGATATGGCATTGTTGGGACAAGTTTACTTGCTCAGCATGCAACTCAAAACTCACCTTTTCAACATGTTGAGTGAGCTTTTCCTTGAGTGCCTCTTCAGTAATCAACTGATCAGATACTTTTTGAAGAATATCTGCATCCCCCTCCTCATATCGTTTCTTTTTTGATGCATGCAACTTAGCCATTTCTTTCAAAACATCATACACAGCATTTGTAGCATCAGGGATATACCTGCCAGTTGATTGTTACATTTGTTATCAGTTTAAGCAAAATGAACAATAAATCCCATTTGGATAGGATAGGAGACTTTAATTTACTTGCTCAAATTTCGCTTTCTCTCTTGCTGTTCACGGGCCTGCATTTTCTTTAATATTTTCAACTTCAGCTGGATGCAGCATTGCTGAATTGCAGACTGAAAAATAATGTTGTTAGTTAATTCATTAAATTTGTAATGGAAATTTGGATGCAAAAAAGCAGAAAACTTTCTCACCTTTACAGCACTAGCTATTTCGCTGATATCATCCCCAATGTACTCCTTCCCAGTCCCTTTAAAGGGGACTTTTGTGCTTACAATACTCACAAAGACACCGATTTTATCTTGTGTTTGGTTGATCTTGTAATTATTCCAACTGAAAATGATGTTCGAGTTAGAAGCCTTGTTTAAATTTCACATTGCTTCTCATGATTGTTTTATTGCAACAACAGTTGACAACCCTTTACAAAATGTAAGGAATTGCATGAAGTACATCTTACGTGATTCTCTTTAGCGCAGTCCTTGTGACAACATCACCACCTTGCTCAAAAAGAAGAGGTATTCGATTTGCAAATCGGAAAATGTTCAAACCCTGGAATTTATAGTCTTTATATGCTTAATATGCCTAAACAACATATAAATAATAAAGAACCAAAATAAATAAAAAAAATGCTGTTCTGACAATACCCATGTAACTATTAAGTACTACAGAATTTTATTGTATCAAAACGTCTAAACCCTGCCACCCTATTGACTTTGGTTTTGAGAGATGATAAAAATGGCACATTGCCAGAATAACGGAGGAATGAAAACACATCTTGCTTTGTTCATTCACGCTTGGGAATTTTTTGTCTTTCATCTCACTAATTCAAAATGATAGAGAAGTAAATCAACTTAAATCTCAGGAATGTGCTTACCTGTTTAACATCTTTTCCACCCACACTAACACCAGCTTCCACAATGAATGGGTGCCCCTCGAAAATTTGAGCACTGTATAAAATTGCAACAAAAATTCTTACATTTAGCACAAAAAGTATATCCACCGTTAACTTAGCACAGTGTGTAATTGATCCTGGTAGAAATCAGCCCACTAGGACAAACCTGCCTGAATAAGTTGCAACCATGTCAGGATGGAGCTCCTTTATAATTCCTAAGCGAAGATTGTACTCACCCGCAGGGCTTAGACACTGAAAAGTGCTTGAAGTTAACAAAGGAAGTGCTATGGAATGCAAGACGTAGGAATAAATGAAATAGCAAGGCAGTTATAACTTAGCAGACAGAAGAGTGAACAATTTAAGAAATGCAGCTTACATCGCCACTGGGGTCATCAAATTTAGCTTGACGAAATAACTGGTGGATGCGAACTATTTGCTGATCAGTCAGAGACTTAACAGCCATTTTTGGACTAAATTCTGGACCCATTTCTCCTAAAAGGTAAGCACAATCACAATACAGGTCAGGTTAAGCATCTAAGGACTAGCCAATATTTACTAAGGCAGGAACATATATGAATGTTTCATATTTCACCAAACCAAAACTTTAATTAACTTAGCACCAAGCACACTTAAATTGACCGATCTTAGTTCTATATCAATATAATCTTGACCATCTCATGGAACAGTAGTCAACAATAGCAAAAGTACTATAACTAGAAATATACCAACCCTCAGTGAAATGAGATTATGCATAAATGTCTCTCATCTCTACAACTTCAAAAAATTTCACATATCGAATATATAAGAACTCAAAGTGATAGAACCTCTGCATTATTTACATTTCTTCCATAAGATACCGTGATGCATCATTTTGACTGCTATATAAATAGTAAAAAGAAAAAAAAAAGCAATTGGCCTCAACATGATAAGAAATGCCACCATAACATTCTTAATAGAATATGAAAAAGGGGTAAATGAAAAAACTACAGGAGGAATGAAAAGAGAACAAAAAACAATTACCAAGCTATATCCACAAACTTCTTACCAATTAATCGTTCAGCAAGGGATTTTCCAATATTTACAAACTCATGCTGAAGAAACTGCAGTAGGGTCTGTTTCGAAGTTTCAGCAATAAGGCGTTTGATTAGTAGTATGTCAACAGATGAAGGATGATGCTTTGTCTCAACAGGAACTGGAGGCATTACATCTGTCCTCCGTGCAAACTTTATAGTGACATTTTTACTGTATAAGAAAAGGAAAAGAAAAAAAGTTTAAATAAAGGTCAGCAAGATTGCGTTTGTGTGTGTATGAAGAGCAATTGAGCAAGAGAGAGAGCATACTCAGGGGTGTCAGTTACAAACTTAAATAGAAATTGAGCATACGGGGTGATAACTGCCATTTGCCGCATGTAATGCAATATCTTGGACTGCAAATACAAAAAGAAAAAAGACCTTTTAGTTGATGAAACAAAGGAATACCAACTGCTACTTTCAATCACCTAGGAACTCTAAAATGCTTAAACATCTATGAAACTCAAATAAAATAATAGAAAAGAAGCTGGTGCTATATACACGGTAAGTTGTCCAATTTCCCTCAATGACCACTTGAATTTCTGCTCCATGCCATCTATCGTTGTTGTCACGTTTTTCATGCAAATGAATGTGAGGAATGTTCCTGAAATTCAAAACACCAATACAGTATAACTATGCACCAAACTCAAGAATATAACTCCTTATCATCAAATCATCATTGTAGTTTTTTCAAATATACTATAAGCCCAAGAATAGATACAAAGAAAAGATTGCAGCATTCATACATCTTCATGGACAAAAAGATCCCAGAGTGTAAAATGCAGAGATAAATCAAATAAACATTTGTGGTTTATATTGACCAAAAGAAAAGTTGGTGGTTTATGAGAGGACTAAAATATGCCTATGCATTCAGATCATACCTATGAATGTCTATATCCAACCTACAGAACGAAATATAATTTTCACCCTTCATTGATGATGAGATCTCGATCGGCAGGCCTGTACTCATTTTGGACCAAATTAAGGCCTGCATGAATACAATTGGATTAAATTCACCATGTTCCAAACCACAATAGTCAGATAGAGAAGTAGAGGAGCCAGATTACATAACTAGTCTCTTAACAGGTTTGTTTGATATCATAAGCAGGGAAATTTAAATTGAATTTCTTTAAGTTATGATGTCCTATGGGCATTCTACTGCCTATTCCAGACATTGAATGGTTTTATTGAGGGAAATATTGGCATGAAAATGACTGATTTGAAATTTTGAAATGGGAGGATTAACTGAAATCCCAAAGGCAAGCCACTTTTTATTAAAGGGAGCATTCAAATTAATACACTGACACCTTAGATGCTATATAAATCACAACTCAACCTAAAGCATACCCCAGCATAAAAAAATTAAAAATTATAAGACTAATGCTGCACGTATGTATATGTCAAATGAAATAATGCAGTTAAAAGCAAGGCACAAATGTCAGAAGTATTACCATTTTTGCACCAAGACCAAACTTCCCACGCGTTTGCTTTAAGCCATATTTTGTGCCAGACAGAACTGCATAACGAGCATGCAGGCAGGTGTTAAAATGGATGTTGAATAAATCATCTACAATTAAAAAAGTGTTAATGTACAGTCAAATTCAAGCCAAACAAGAACTCAATATCATAAGTAATTTCAACCTCGTCCAAACATGTTTGGGATGTCATCATGTGGCATGCCTCTTCCATTGTCCTGCATTTCAAATCAACTCTAGTCAAGAGACTTAGACATAAGGAAAAAAATTTAGGGACTCATTTTCAATTAGATCAATTTTATGGCAGAACCAAGACAATAAAAAACCAATATGGTATGGAAGGTTGAGATGGGTGGTAATACCTTGCATGTCACCCTGTAAAAAGAAGCTTCGCCTCGACCCTTGACGCTTTTGGGAACTACATGTTCTTTGACCTTCTTCCCAAGGGCAGCATTCTTTGCTTGCATTTCAAGAGCTCGAGCTTCCTTTGCTAATCTTTTCTGATTGAATGAAAATAAAATAGAGCAGGAGAATTTGAGATGACTGACAAATGGTTAAGAGAACACTTCTGGCTTCCCTTAATACAAAAAATCGCTTGCGTAAAAAGCAGTTGAAAGAAGCAACATGCTAAAACCAAAACTGGAACAAGATTGCAAGTCTAATCATTTTAACACATCAAGTGAACTTGTCACATATAAGATTCCAAAATGTAAGGAAGTACTGTACCATCTACATAGTTCAATGAGGAAGTTAAAAACAATAGAGGATGAACATTAGAAGGTGCAGATACCTCACGGGCCTTAGCTGTCTCATAATCATCGTATAATTCTTCATCAACACGTTCCCTATCAACAAGCCCAATCATGGAATTGAACTTGCTTTTGACAATCTCTTCTCTGCAACAGCCATTTGGACTTGGGCAGAAATAGAAAATATATTTCTATACATCCACAAATTGCTAAATGAAGCTAAAAGCAATTTCCATATATATTTTTTTGCATAGAGATGAAGCTTACATTGTTATGTCTACTACCGGAAGCTCAGATATTGACTCTGCTGAATCCAGCGCATTTTCAACAAGTTCTCTAACAGTTGTGTATAGGCATTTCCCAGGCTGAAATCCAGGCACAAGTAAATCATACAATTTATAAAATCTTAAAGGAACTCACTCCAAAAAAAAAAAAAATCCCGTTATCTGTACTTCAAATTTATAGTATAATAACTGCAAAGTTTTTTTTTTTTTTTTAAACTCAACCTGATTTTACCCAATATCCACAATTATTTACTAAAATGCATCTTAAAATTTTCAAATGCAATATTAGTTGAATTTTGCAGGTAAATTTTCCCCTAATTGCAGTTTCGTGTAAAATAAAATGACAACAAAAGAAAGCAAAACTGAATTCTAAAAAAGCAAAAAGTGTGAAACATAGCTTACATTATCAAAACCAGCAATGTTCTTGTTCTCTGCAAAGAACTCAGCAGGGGACTCTGAATAAACAAAAAAAAATCTCAGCATCATCCATACATACGTACATACATATACCCATCCATCCATCCATCCAGACATACATACATATTTGCATGCGCATAATATGTAAACAGGCACATACTTTGCTTGAGAATGCTTTCTTTAGCTTTTTTGGGAGTTCTTGATTTGCCTTTCTTTGTTTCTATTGGACTTTCACTCTCCATTTGGAATTCTCCGAGAAGCAAAAATGGAAAATTAACTTTTGAAGAAAAATTTTAAGAAAAAATGTTTAGAAAACAAAAAAAAATGTAATATGAAAATCAGGGCATTAATAAGGATTTTGAGATCTGTTTGAGCAAAGAGAAAGAGCGAAAGATAGGGCTGGTACTGGAACTTTGATATCGTGCGCTCATCTCTATGACAGATTATTGTGTGGGCCATTTTTTTCTAGTAAACGGTGTCGTATGCAATAAATCAACAGTTAATAATAATGAAACTAGGAATACAGGGTTGAGGGTAGACGTTGGATTACCCAAATGTTTGAACAGTAGTTTTTTAAGTTTAGCATTGCAGATCTAGGAATTCGTTCCCTAATTTCCCGCCAAAGGTTTTGTCTTTTGTTTTGATGAACCCGCCAAAGTTTAGAATGTGGCTCGTCACTCAGACTGGCGGGCTACGACTTACTCCATCTTAAGTGTAACTTAACGCTTAAGGTTGTTCAATCCCCGAGTCTCCGCCTTGTACAATTTACTTGTTCCCAATAGAACAAGACCTGTTGTAAACAAGCCATTTGCATAACCCCAATTGCTATAGTTCCATGGCTCGTTCAATGTGATCTTATTTTTTACTGCGTCACCAACTTTGTTGAAGCAAGCCTGTGCACAATCTTGAAAATCTTCCCACAAATTAAAACAATTGGTACTTTAGTTTGTTGCAATGAAAAAAAAAAATCCAAATGGTTGTTAATTAATTTTAACTACTTGTTATAGTAGCAGTACTGGATCACATTCGCAAATAAAAAAAGGTGGCTTCCACGATCTGGAGACTCGAGAAATCACCATATTCGTCTTCTATGGCTTGGGGAAGATCCCAGTGGAAAGAGTCACGTGAGGCTGTAGTCGTCCAGGTGAGAAGCATTACCCAGCCCAAGTTCACAGCAGAAAGATTAAAGAGCACAGTACGAGTGAATCGATCGTGATCATCCTCCAAGAGCTCATCTATGATATTGTTGTAGGATCAAATTCCTTTCAAGCTTTTACGCCACCTAGCTTTCATACAGGCATTGCAATGGAATGGGATACTTATAAATTTATAATTGTTAGATTCATATAGTTTATGACAGATTCAAATAAATTTTGAATAATATTAATTGATTATCTAATATCTGAATTCATTTAAATTTTTTTTATCAGATATTAAAATTCATTTCCGTTAACATACGTAAAATATATAAAATTTTATACTTGTAAAAAAGTTCAAAATTTAGAAAAATTTTTTATTGTTATTAATTAAAAGCAAATTAAAATTTTATTTATTTTATATTTTGATAAAATATTTTTAAAAAATTATTTAATATACTATTAGTGAGATTTTTTAACTCTATAAGTGAGATTAAAATGATAACACATATTTTACTTTTCTTTAAATTAATTTTTTTAACATACAAAGAATATGTGTTACCATATTGTGGAGTTAAATTCCACGATCATGTTTTTGATTATTTCTCAAAATTTAAATAATCAAATATTTTAATAGATTAAGTACTTGTTTAATTAGCTACAGATTCAAATAATAATATTAAATTTAATCAGACAATTAAATGAACACTAATTTCCAAAAAATAATAGATATTCACTTTGTAGCCATTCCTAATCTCATCCAAAACAAGAGTCAAATAAAAAATTATATTAATAATTAGCCTGAATAATTACTAATTAATCTGTTAACATTGTATTAAGTATATCCATTGAATATAAAATGACCCACTAAATCTCAAATTAATTAATTAGAAGCAAGGTTTCATAGAATCATCTTCGACTGAAATGTAAAAATTCCAAATTATCCCCCCTTGATGCTTACAGATATAACAGAATCCATCACTTTCAAGAAAAATATATACCTTGATAAAGTTATTGATTACAGTTACTGTTTTTTTTTCTTTTATGAATGTAATATAAGAGTTTAGTTCAACTTTATATTTTATATTTATTGATTTTTATTTACAGACGTAATATGTGATATATATATATATATATAATGAAAATTATTTGATTGGTAATTTGAAATTTTTAGTTGTCTGTGTAACTGTATCAAACAAATTAAGAGAAACAAGTAAATAACACAATTCTAAAAATTGAAAACAAATTTCTTTCATATTTTTTGTAAAATATTAAAAATGCCCATATACTGTCTATTTTTTTAAAAAAATAAGTTATTATCATTCTATTTTATCCAATTGAACCTGTAAAATATTATTTGCATGAAAATTATTAAAACCTCAAATACTATTGGAATTCAAACCCTCAAATATATATCTAGCATATACTAATTTGTTGGACTCCCACTCTAATCGATTAAACCTCAAACATACTAATTCAAAGCCATACTGTAACTATTGTTTTCACACCAGTTGTATGCAATCGCTTTTGGTTGGCTTTTCACTCCAATAATGTTTGCAAACCATCCATCATTATGTGCAAAACAAAATGCCATGTTTAACAAAGATATCCCAATGCACAACGAAGCAGAAACTTGTTACAAACTGAATATTAACAGAATCTGAATAAGAAAGAAAAACCATCTTTCCCGATACCCATGAATGCAGCACCACAATGATGGCAATAATAATAGACATTACACTCTTTTAAGTGATTTGAACCAAGTTCATGCAAATATGTTTCCCATAACAATAAAGGTGGTCAGTAAGGCTACAGGATTAAACAATTTAACAGAGTAATGACATCAGGAACAGTTTGATTATAATGGTATATGTAAGCTAATGTGTTCTTTTGTAAATAGAATACCTTACATTGACCTACAATCGACATCAATCTGATAAGTGTTAGCACAAATGGGTGTACTTAGAATCCAAAATAGATCTCATACCTAGAAGAGATGGAAAAGAGCTTATTAGCAAAATGGAGAATCAAAAGTTTGTCTTAAAGTCCTAAGCATTGACTTACCATGACAAGAAATGCAGCCCATCGTCCTCATCTTAAGGGCATTTTCTTTGTATATACGAAGCTCCATGCTCTTCATACCTGCCAGTTGCATGCTTTTAAAATGAAGTAGTTTAAGATAAACTACTATGAATTTACCGGTACGATCTTGATAAGAAGAAGAAACAAGCAAAACTTGACAATATGCATCTGAACCAAGGAAAAGAAAAAGAAGCAATTGTCCAAAAGAGATCTGAATGTGAAACATGATGCTTACTCGGACTTGGAGAACCACATTTGCTGGAATGAACCAAGAGATGCCAATATACTCCCTCCTATCCAAACACTGTTTTATACATGTTAGCAGCATTTAATAAGAGCAAAACAAACAAGAATTCTTTCAAAAGTAGTTACACAAGCCTATGCCAATAAAGCAAACTAGACAAGGTATAAAGTTCTCATAATCTGGCAATGAATGGATAAAATTATGTCTACATCGGCAATGCTAACTAATAGATGGTAAATCACTATGGATTTTAATCATTCATCTCATAGCTTCAACAATTCTACTGTTTTTTTTTTTTTTTTGTTCTTTTTCCTCTTTTCACATTCCATTTTCTATAAGTCCTCATGTCCTTTTCAATGGTTTACTACCTTATTCTATCTCTTGCAAAGATAATGGTGGATGCACGCACGTAAAATCTTGTTAGCTTCTTGACCATTTCCACTTAACATGAACCATAAAAATGAGATCTTAGTCATCTTCCTACTCACTACATCCTTCCAACTGCAAGTGGTTTCCGAATTAAAATCATGCTGATAGCCACATCAGGTGTCAGAAAGTGGTTACTGGTTCTTGCATTACTAAGAAGTACATGATCACCATTAATTTACAAGTCCCCTAAGATTCTAACAAGGGTGACATACGACCTCTATCATGCAATTCAAGACTTTCCATATGCAATTAACATAAACTCACGTATGAGATTCAACCATGCAAAGATACACAATCATGCTTCTTGGTTACATCAATAAGCATTTGTTTACCATGGAGTAAGCTATAATCATTAGTTAATGACTTTTTCCCGGACAAGTACAAAAGAATTTATAGAATTTGATAGAAGCGAGTTCACACATAGAATGAAACAATAAACCCACCAGCAAAGAATATTGATGATGGCTCAAAAAAATACATTTCTCGGGACTAGAAAAGAATAGAAACAGCCAAGCAAAACACATACAGTAAAACAGGTAGAAGCAAAAATAGGAAATAATGAATCTGATAAAAAAAAGGAAAAAATATCAAACAACAACCAACCTGAATCTTCTTTCTGTTGCATTTCCACTTGCCAATACTTTAACTCTAGCAGCTTGAGGAGACTCCTGCAGATTGAACGACAATGATAGAGTTATTTTGTTGTCAAAATTTAAGTTTATTCTCCCCAGTTGCAGAGCTAACCTCAAATAATGTCATGCATTCAACATGAGAACTATTTGTCCACAGAAATTATTTATACAACTCATTTCAATTTCAGGGCTCCTGACTCCCAAGAGTGCATGAATTTGTGTGATTGCATGTGCGACTGAATGCGCTGCACATGCATGACAGAGTGAGAGGGAGATCTACCTCATGATCTTTGAAGCACATACCAGCGTTTACGGATACAAATACACCTTGAATATGCCAAATTGCAACCCCTCCAACTCCTAACCCTTCAAATATGCACATGGATATGATACTAGCATGCAGAGGGATAGAAGAAAAGAACAGGGAAGAAGAAAGACTAGTGCCGCAATGGCTACCTTCATTTTCCTCCCATAGTGTTGATCTAAGCATAAAACAAAAGAAGATGATAGAGGAAACAAAAGAAGGAAGTAACTGGATATGAAGGCAATTTAGCTGTGTTGTGAAGAGAAGATGGAAGCCACTAACAGGAAAAATAACTAAGGGCATCTAACCTGGGCTGGATATATTTTGAAGCTCATCAGGCCCATCCCATATATTAGCATTCAGTTTTAGTTTCCTTAGAGCCCAAAATTAAAGCTATTCAATCTTTCATAAAAATATTCGCAAAATAATAAAATTACTTGACAACTCACCATAACACAAATTGTTTATACTAATTTTACTTATTTTAAAAGACCTTATATGGTATGTTTAATTAAAATTAATTAAAATGCATGCGCACATGTGCACACACACTTAGATATATAATTGCCATATCCCGCTATACCCATATCCCAGATTTTAAAAATTGCCATATCACCATATCATATCGTACCTCTGTATGGCACCTATGCTTCCTTACTCATGATACAATGAATTTTTCCTTTTCTTCTCTTACAGCAATGAAATGACATTTTAGAGTGGAAAAAAGGCCAACAAAAACCATTATCAATAAAACTATAATGATATGAAATCACTTTTCGTGGATTATGTCAAACCATCAAAAACTACAAGCACAAAAGAAATATAAACGCAACACCATGAAATCAAACTTTATCATAAGAGAGTCCAAAACTTAACACGTCCATAAATGAAAAACAAAAAAGAATACCTCCAGCAAGTCCTTCTCAAGACGTTCTTTCAACTGTTGCATTGATGCTGTGCCACCAGCAAGCTGCAATATCATGGAGGACAGAAGTGCTGATATCAGTCATGAAAAAAGATTTATGGAATTAAAAGATAATCATGTTTATCAATTAGATTATCGATAAACAGATATTTCATCCACTCACCAAACATGAATAAGCTACTTGTTTTCGAATATAATATTCCAAAAAGAAACACAAGATCAGAAAAATGATCAAGGCAATGGAGTAAAGGCTTGCTTGGGTGTGACTGACTTACCAGTATACTGCCAAACAATTCTTTCCGAATGTCCACATCGCATCTATTAATGCTTTCTATGACCTGCAAATGATAGAGAAATTCTTAATTAACTAATCCTTGAAAAACTAAAAGAGTGGTTGATATGTAAAGGCCAATGCATGAAGGTAAATTAACATACCATTTGTGGCAAACCACGAGCAGATGGAAAAATATCAGCAAAATTGTCCATTCCAGGAATTGTCTAATAACAAACAAGAAATAAAAAATGATATTAATATACACACCGAAAATCTTATTATTAATGAAACAATATAGCCTAGTTATGCATGCAAAACAAATAAAATGAACTACAAAAATCTCCAACAACTTGATTGCCCAATATTTTCATGTATCACCAAGAATTACAGGTCAGCTAAGAAACCAGAAGTAACCAGTCAACAAGGCAGCAATGAATTTAGAGAAGGAAAGATATCAACAGATCAATAAAATTTTGAAAAGCATATTCAATGGCCTGTTTATAGCACTTAGAAACAAAATTCCAAATTTGCAGCAACAATTCCAGGAACACCACTCCAGAAGTCAATGAACTAATTCAACAAGGACACCAAAGGCTTCCTAGTGGTTTATAATTCCAACAGGAATAAGAATGCTAGACCAACCAAGTTACAGCAAATGAATCCCATGTATTTCATCAATAAAATATAAGAACTAAGAATCTTACCAATCAAACACAACAGAAAAATTGCAAATTCAAAACCACATACATTAGATAAATCCAAAATAAACTCTCTACAAATAGACAAGAAAAGGGATCTTATCATTGCCATCAACTAAATGCAGAATGTACATATTTTTGTGACAAAAAAAAAAGACTGAACAAATGTTCAAAAGAACATCAATTGACAAGAAACGTGCTAGTGAAGCATGTTGGAAAGAAGTGCCTATGGACTAAACTCCTTAAGATTTTATTTTTGTCAATTTATTTTATTTTAAGAGTTTAATTTGTAAAGAACTAGATATAAACTTTCATAGACTATGTAGGCTATTTTAAATTATTTAGTGTTATACTTATTTTCTAATTTTAAATTATTTGGAGTTATACTTATTTTCTAAGTATTAGGGCTTTCGAGTTATATTGGTATTTGGCATTTAAATTATGATCTGAGGTTTAGCTATAACTACTGGTGCTATTTCAATTTCTTGTAGGCATTGAATCATGAATTATTGGGATTTTGATTGAGTTTGAGATTTCTCTCTCCACTTTGGGTCCTTCTGCTTTCCTCTCCTGATTATTCTATTTCTTTCCCAATTCCCTCAATATCCCCTAATCTTCTATCTCTTGTTTTCCTCTTACCTCTATTTTCACACTCTTTCCCCTTATAGTCCTACAAAAAATGCTAATACCCAAAACAAAACTTGGATAAAATAAATTTTAAGGAAAAAAAAAAAACAAAAAACAAAACTTGCAAGTGCACAAAAAGTATGATAGAAAACAAATGAATCTAGGATCCTGAAAAGTCCAAAGGCTACACACCTGAGCCAAAGGTGGGTAAAACAGAACATCAGGGATTTTAAATCTATCAGCACCAATTTCAATTGTCCTGAATTAACATAATAGAGAATGCATAATCCATTAATTTTAGTAATAATTGAAACTGAGACCCCAAGGCAATTATTTTGTAGCTAAACAGGGTTAGACAATGCAGTTGTTACTACAAGTTGCTGGGTGAATGCACAGTGTTATAATGCCCCCCCCCCCCCCCCAAAAAAAAAAAAAAAAAAAGATGAAGCAACTATCAAGTAGAAAAGCTGTTTATCACTCAACAACTCAAGGATGCATAGCAGACAAAGCTAAAGCAACCTAACTATGATATAACAAAACAATGCTAACAAACTCATAAAGAACTTACTGGCCATCAGGAAGCTCGTACGGGGTCATTGGGACATTTGAATATGCACTTTCTGCAAAGAAAAAGGCAATCATCAAGCCACAGAATCAAGTAACAACATCAACACTGTAATTCAAAAGATATTTGAAAGAGCATTTACGTCATTGGTAGGATTCAATCACAGCAAACAAGCATCTTTGAGATATTATTGCAGGCATACATACGTACGTACGTACATACATATAATAGGATGAAAAGGTAAAAAGTGGCATGACTGTAAAAGCAAAAAAATTGATGAACAAAGACAAACCATCATATGGAGTATCAGGAGCTCGACACACACATTCCTTGATATCACTTGCTATTACTCTCTGTTGTAAAAAGATAAACAACAGGTATGAGGGGAAAAAACTTGTCAATTGGAAAGGAGTAACAATGATTAAATACAGACCTGGGAGTAGAGCTTGTAGGATTCTGTTGTATAAGGAAAATCAATATCTAGAGTCTGAGATTCCCAAAACAAAAGTAAAAAGAAATGTCAGAAAGCAATGTCGGCAATTTCCTAGAAATTAACAGGAACAAGAAAAAGTGAAACAGCAGATGGAGTAAACTTCAATTAGAGAATATTCCAGTTTCAAGAGAAATCTTCTACTTCAGCAAATCAATTAAAATAAGAAAAAGAAGACAAGCATGATTCTCCACTATATTGCAGCTCTTTTACAATCTATTTCTTCCTTTCTTTCACAATCCAACTTTGAAGCATTGACTACAACTAATGCCTCCACCTCAACCAACTGTGGCAATAAAGTCCCAGGCCGCATCTCACCAAAACAATACCCATCCATTTGCAGCAAATTTGTCTCTACCAACTCTTTTAGTCTGCAAGAACCTATGTTCATTGGCACAAAACAAAGTGACAAAGAGATTGTTCTTCTTGGGCCACCATGACAGATCACACCTAGCAGACTTGTCAAATGTACAACAATATCTGGGAAAGAAAATGAAAATTTGCAACAATACCGTCTGGAGATTTTCTAGGAACAGAAGGATAAGTTTACAGAAGTTAGACAAGAAAAGATTCTAAAGGATAATGTTTGTCTTGGTTGAGAACCTACTATGCTTAGACCTGGTGGAAGCTTGACAACGAGGTAGAGTGGGCTTAGACTAATGGCAGAATACAACCATTGGAGCAATTAATAATTGATTTTTTTCCATTCCTGTTCTTTGGGTGAAGGAACTTGAGAAATGGAAATAAATTTGAGTGATCCAATCTGTAATTCTTTCCACATCCAATTATAAGATCTCAAAGCTCTAAAATAGAAATATCATTCTCCTTTCACCCATAATAAAAAACACATCAAAAATTTGATCAAAAATAAATCTGAGTTATGCACAAGAAAGTCTTCGTAAATTACTATTGAATTTTTATATTTTTGTTTCAATACATACTGGTCCTAGTAGAACTGCACAAGTTAAACTTCGGATGGCATGTATGCATGAAATTCGAGAAACAAAAGCAATTAATGGCATAAACCTTAAATGAGTTCCAGTGATTTTACAAAATACCTGGAACACCCCTGGTTGTATTTCCTTTCTCTTAAAGGAGTACCTCGGTTTTATCTACAAAGATCAGGAAAAAAATATTAGTGAAAACTGAAACAACAAATCTCACCAATTACTTTGCTTTCAGAGAAAGAAAAAACTCGTATACACCATCACTTACCACAATGCCTTTGCTTTCCAAGCTTTTCATCAAGCAATCGGTAAGAAATTCTCCTCCAATAGGAGAAGAAGACACTGCCTATTATAGCAAAAAAAAAAAAAGATAACAGTGGAAAGGGGAGAAACAAAAAAATGCATCATCAGTCTGGAAAAAGCTAGTGAGATAAAAATAATAATAATAATAATAAGTAATCAATCAAATGCATAAAGGTCACAGAAATAGAATTGCACCAACAGAAAGTTCATTTTCAGAATAACAATTAAAATCATTGCAGAGTTTTACTTTTATAGAAAATCATCACTTAGCATAAAAAATGGAAGGGTGCAAAAATCAACTAAAAAAGCCAAGGTGCATATTCTAGCCTCAGTTATAAATTTTTTAATCTAAGGAATTTGCAACTCAAGATAGCTACTAAAGCATTGCCAAATCCAGGGCTCACAAGAACAGAAGCTTGTTCTAGTTTCTCTGAAACACCTCAAGTTCAAAAATTTCCCAAAAAAATCTCCAATAGCCAAGTAAAAAATTTGATTCCCTTTCCAAACTAGTTCCACTTACAGATAAAATGAATAACATTGAAAAATTTTTGGAAAAAGCAATCTGAGCAGCAATGTATGAACATGGATGTTACGATACACGTAGATCAAGAGGAGATAACCACCATATCAATTTCTTTATAAGCAATACTCAGACAATAGTTTAGCATATAAGTGAAAATGAAAATAAATAAAATATAAATTAACTGGAAATCATTCATTTTCCTAGTTCTATTAAAAAGAGAGAAATACCTTTTGAAGAACATAACCATCATGTACTGGGGCAACTGTAGTTGATCCTCCACCACTAAAAGAGTTAATAGTTATACATAAGGACGTGTTACTAAAATAAAGCGAGAATAATTGTACAACCAGTATAAGACAAGTGAAGATACTGCTTTACTCTATTTAAAAGAAAGTAGACAAATGCAACTGATCCACATAACTCAGATTCTCATAATTCAGTGTCCAATCTTGGAAATATGTAATCTTCCAAGGTTCACTCACTTTCCTACTGTTTACAATTATGTTTTGAATGAGAGTTGTTAATCTTACATGCAACATCCAGTATTCTATATTCAACCTTTGATATAATAGTATTAACAGATGGGTAAAAGTCCCAAAGGAAGCTGAAAGAAGAGGATGGATAGGTTAGGAGTAGGATTTGATGCCAGTAATATCTGACTAAGCTTTAAGGAATAATTTCTTTATCTTAATTCTCAAGCAAGTTCACACTCTAGTATACGTACATAGTGTGTAAACATAATGAAACAAAATGCATGCCAAATGGATGTACATATGAATGTATATATACAAAATTTAAGAATATAAATCATACCTATCAACAACGACAGAGGTAGCACGTCCTGATGCAAAGGATGTAAGAACCTGGCATTAAAAAGTATTGCAATCAGAAACCAAATCACAAAACAGAAAGAGTTGGAATTGAGGACAATAATAATACCGCATTCTTGGCCAAAAATAAAGCTGGAACTTTGTACTTTTCGAACATGAGTTCCGCTGTCCTGTTAGGTTTCATCAAAATCAAACACCATATTTCTGGATTGAAAAAAAGAAAAGAAAACAAAAGAAAATTAATTAAGCTTGGGTACTAGGAAAAAAGACCTCTCCCTCTGCTGTTGAGTGTTGGATGATGGCTCCGCAAGTAGCATTGGATGTTCCTTAGGATCAATGAGTAAACACTCCTTGAAAGCATGATCCCATATGCTGTCAACAATATCCCAATCAACAACAACCCCATCCTTTAGGGGAGACAGCACCTGACAAAAGCAAGCAGCTGTTAACAAACAAATACAGCAAAATAGAAATATAGTAAATAAACGAATGAACTAATAGGAAAAAGCCAGCAGCATGAAGCATGGACCTGACCTCCATATGATCGCGTCGAAGACCCAAGGCTTGAGAGCCTACATACAATCTGCGTTTTCCCTTGGGTTTGTTGGAATCAACATTATTGTTGTTAGTCTCAGAATCGTTGTTTTCGTTGTCATCATCGGCATCCATTTGATCAATGGACCCCACAACCTTAACAAACAAACAAACAAACAAACAAAAGAAGATGAACATGAACATGAACATGAACAATGAAGAATAATGTGGATGGGTCGAAAATCGAAATTCAGAAAATTAGAAATAAAGAAGCTTGGAATGGTCTTACAGAAGGAAACACAGCCTTGGGAGCATCTTCGCCGGCATAACCAGCTTTGCAAGTGTGAGACCCTAGGTCTATCACTATAGCCGATACTTCATCTGTGCATGTTAATTATTATGTATTATAACTTCACTTTGAGATTGAAGAAATAAGTAAGCAAACCATCAAAGAGACAAACAAACACAAAGCAGGAAGAGGCTCAAATTTCTTCCTACTCACCCCCTCCGTACATGGCTGCAACTCACAGTGAAAGAAAGCGACACCGGAGGGAATAGAGACGCGCGGAGAAAAAGGAAGAGAGAACTGCGGCAGCGCCAATGCCAGATGTGGTGGCTAGGCACGAGGAGAGGCGGTCGTCGGCGGCTTGGGGCAGAGAGGCCCGGCGAAGTGGGAAGCGGGGAAGAAAGTTTTCTTTATTTTTCTTTGAATGTGATTTGGGCTTTTATGTTTGATTTCGCACACTTATTTTAGAATAAAGGTTTCTTTTGGGCCTTTTATGGCCTATACCGTTTTGTTTTTTTGGAGGAAATTTTTTTCAAAATTTTTTAAATAAATAAAATTAAGTAATGCAACATCAGAATTTTTTGTCCTTTTCAAAATGAGAGATTCTTTGATCTATTCCACTGTAAATTTAAAAAATCCAAAAAAATTCAAATATTGACCATTCAAGTTTATTATGGCTGTAAATTTATTGGGCCTTTAATTTTGACATTTGAAATTGATTTGCATGAAAATTTATAATGAGGCCGCATGAGATTCAATTTATCAATTTTACATGAAAGATGTTTTCTGTCTATTCGGCGTGGGTCAAAAAATTTTCAATGGAAATAAAAAAAATTTATCCACCATTTTTTATGGGTGAGATATTCTAAAGAGCCCACTTGGTTTATCCAAGTGAATACAAGCTAACTTTATTAAAAGTAGTTAAACTTTTTGTGAAAAAAAAAAAAAAAAAACAAAATAATTTTTTAAAATAAAATTTTAAAGTGACGAGAATCTTATAAAATTCATCAAACTATTAATGAAGTCTTAGACATTTTCAAATTAAAATTAAATAAATTCATAAAATAAATCTTTAAGATTAATATATTTTTATTAACTCTACCAAAATATTAAAAAAATCTTTAAAATTTTCAATCAAAAAATTAATTAAATTCATAAAGAATAAATAAAAATAAATTAAACAAATAAAATTAAAGTCACAAACTTTATAAATTGAAATATGGTAAATAATTAATAATAGATGAAAGTATGAATAATTAAAATAAAAAATTGTTTTACTCACAAAATACGTGTCAATATAGAATATAAAAATAAAGATTACAATTTTCAAAATATGAATTTCAAGGAAATATAAATAAAAAATTAATTTTTTTAAATTTGAATTGAAGATTAACAAAGCATTTTTATAATATTTTTAACATATTATTTGTAATAGATTTTATTTTTGAATAATTTATTTATAATAAATTTCAAATTTTGATGAATTTTTAAATTTTTATGAAAATTAAATTAAAAAATATTGCAAATAAAGACTTATTCTAGTACATAAACTAAAAAAATGTACATTGTGATATCTAAAACTATGCTTAATTTGAATAATAGATGTTAATATGAAATTGAGATCTAAATAGAATATAATGAAATAAAGCTACTTTGAGATCCCTTATGAAATGAGGCATGGAATGGAGCCATTACGAAGAAGTTTTGAGAGTTAAGAAGGAAATTTCAAGTTTATATTAGTCAAGGGTTGAGAGCGGGAATTGAACTCTATGAGACCTAATTTTATGTTGCTTTTAGTAGCTCAGCAACAAAGTGATAGCTTGTTAACTGACTGGTCGTAGGCTAGGATCCTACTTAAAGATATTTGATTTATTCTGAATTAAAGAATTCAGGATGTCACAATGAAAGGATTTGCTTTGATTGTTAAAAGCATGTAATCGTTACTTGTGTCTTTGTTTCTATTCATTATATCTTATTGTATCACATTCTATTATGTTATATTTGAGAATCACCGTCGAAACTTTGGTATAGGTTTAGAATAATCCTTTGTTCCATAGTCTTTTACAATCAGCTAATTAAAAATTATACTAGTACTAGCAAATGCCTCAAAGATGTAATTGTCAATTCTCCCAAAACCACAATTACCATGAACAAACATATTAATTTAATGATCAAGGGCCCATTTTTTTTTTTTTTGCTACTAATACTTGTACTTGCTATCTATCTATTCTATCTTTGAAAAATTATAATTTTATCTTTCAAAAGTTAATTATAAATTTTTTATTGATATTTTTATCTTACTTTTTGTTAAGTTAAAAAAATTTAAATTATATTAAAAATACTAAAATTATATAATTCTTACTAATTAATAGGTAAATGATCAAGAACAAATTTTTAACCACTCTAACTTTTTATTTAACTCAATTACATTAATACAACTATAAATTAAAAGGATCCCTTAAGGATCTTAAGCTTGACACTTGTCCATTGGTTTTTTCTTTCTTTAAGGATTCTAGCCTTGACACTTTTTTTTTCCTTCTTACTAGCCATTGACTTTGAAAAGGTTTCTTTGCTTTTCATACTCTGTAGCATTAAAGATCATTTAAAAAAGTAAAACTTTGGCGTGAAATATAGAGATAGTGGTTTCAATTCTATGCACAGTTCTATATTCTTCTTGGGTTCTTATTCTCAAGTTTTTATTTATGTATTTTTCTTTCAATTTCTGTCTTCTCTTATTTTTTTATGTCTTTACTTTTAGGTAAAACTTTTTCCTTTTTCTGGTTGTTAAATTGATTATGGATTTTATTTTTTTTCTTCAAATGGTTTTGGTTTTATAGAGTTGAATTTGGTTTTATAGAGTTGAATTATTGAATGGGGTTTGGGTTCTTTTTTTTATCATTTCCCATTGGTTAAAAGTTTTTCTCTTTTGGTTATTAATTTGAATTAGGATTTTTTTATTTGTTATTGAACATCATTTTTTTTAATGTTTTATTTTGTTTTGTCTTTAATTTGTTAGAATTATTTGTTTTGAGATTTGCATGTTGTTTTATTCTAATTTGAAATGATTTAAAAGTTAGTGTTGTTTAAGATTAGATTACATAGATAATGGTTGAAATGGGATTTTTTCCCAAATTGCTTTGTGTTTTTTATTTGATTACCATTTTTTCTAAGTATTGTTCGACGTTGTTCCTTAATTAGGTTTAAGGCAAGTGGACGATTTGGCTTTTTATTTCTTGGGTCTTTAGGATAATAGTTTGAATGGGATTTCTTTTGTTGCAAGTTGTTTGGTGACATTTGCTTGAGTTGTATGTGTGTGACTTTTTTTTTTGCTTTCAAGTTAGTGTTTTTTGTTTTGATGCTTGGTTTTGAGTTATTTTTGTGTTAGATTGATTCTTGTAGCCTACATTTCTTTTTTTTATTATTATTATTTTTTAGCTATCTTGATTATTTTATATAAGAATTTGAATGAAATTGTTCTTGGTTTTGCATGTTGTATGAATATTATTATTTAAAATTATTAAATTTTTTTTAGGTATAGTTGGAGATTTTTGGTTGATTAAGTTCAAGGTAAGTTTAAAGTTTAGGTTTTGTTTTTGTATTGTTGTTGTTTTTCTGATCATCTTGCTTTAATTGTTTTTTATTATGTGTGAGTCTTTTTTTTTAGTTTGTTTGTTTATTGATCTCTTACTTTTCCTTTATAAGTAGTTGTGTTGTCTTTTTATTTTGTATTGCTCTATGTATATATTGGTTTGAAGTTTTGTGTGTTAATCATGAATCCTCTTAATGGAAGATGCTTTGGGTATATATTGATTGAAGGTTCTATGTATTAAGTTGTTGCTTTCAATAATGAATACTCTTAGTAGATAATGCTCTAGATATATATTGGTTAGAGGTTTTGTGTGTTAAATTATTGCTTTTAGTCATAGATCATATTAGTTGAGGAATGGGGAATATGATCAAAAAAATTAAAAAGGTTATGGTGTGGCAAGTTGAAAAAGTAGAAAAATATTTGTATGGGTACTTTTCCTTGGTCTAGTATTGATGGATCTCAAGATAATAAACTTGTTCGTCAAGTTAGGAGAAGAAGATCTTTAAGTTTGGTAAGTGATTTAATAGGATTTATTAGTGATGCATCAGAGCATGCTTTTGTCAGTTTTAACAATATTGATGGACCTCAAGATAATGTATTGTTGGTTGGGTTAAGAGAAGAAGATCTTCAGCTTTGGTTAGTGATTTAAAGGGATTTGTTAATGATGTATCAAATCATGTTCCTATTAGCGTTAATGGAAAAAAAATAGATATCTTATATATAATTACATTCAACTATTGATCTTAATAGGATATTACAAACAATTGGAGTTAAAACATCTAAGTATATTATTGTAAAAGATTCGATTACTCATTTATTAAAGAAAATAAAGTTTGGGTTGTAGTTGGATAGTTCTGTAAGTTATTCTACATATGGTCTGTATTTATTCTTTGCTGTGACAGAATTTGTTGGTAGTATTTGATTGATTTGTTGATATTCTTTTATACCTTTCTTTTTCATTTATATGGTAATGTTTGAGTTATATTTAGTTTTTGTAGTTTATTTTTAATGTCTTTAGGTGATGAGCATTGTATGAGAGTTTGTTTACGAAAGCAAGAACAATTAAATGTTTGTAGTATGGAGGTAAGGTAGAATGAGCATTCAAGTAAATTTGATTGCATTTTTTATGCTTCATTCATTCACAACTTAATTTGTTTGTTTGTTTTTTTTTTTTTTTTTTGCGTGATGCTAATAAGTTTCTTTTTGCTATTATTTTTTTCATTCTTTTTTCTAGGAACATGTTATGAAGCTTTTAATTTTGGTGGTTCTAAGTGTGTTTGTCCATTCTTTGAGTTTGCCCATTTTGTAATACTATGATGTGGTACGATTGGATAATTCTACAAACGTACGGATCATTCAAGTAATAATAAAGATTAAAAGGTCTAAATATTGATCTAACAAGAATTAGCTAATGAAATTCTTAGACTAAATATCTTTTATCCCCACACTCCCTTTAGATTTGATTCAATTGAAAGGTTTACACAAGAGTAAATTAGCATCTACAATTAAAGAAACCCATAAGCAATGCATAACAAAATGTAAATTTACAACATGTGAAGTAAGTAAACTAAAAAAATTCAACAAAATAGTAGCTAAAGTAACTTGAATAAAATTTAACATGCTTTGAATACAAGGTCTAAACTAAGAAACTAAAAATAACAAGATCAATTAACAATAAAATAGTAACTTACAAATGAAAATCGAAAATAACTACCTTAACTAACTTTTAGTTACCTTCTAACTTCTAACGAGAAAATTATCTAGAAACCTATCAAAAATGGATCCAAACAACTTGTAAATTGCAAGAACAAAAAATGAACTAAGATAGAAATGCAATTAAAGTGCAAGTAATGAAGA